AAAAAAAAAAAAAAAAAAAAAGAATTTCAAGAAAACTGTGACCTAGGAACAAGATCTGATGGTAATGAGTATCAGGATTTGTAATCAGAAGCAGATTGAAATATTTACCAAAAGAATATACAATTTAAAAAGAGATTGGGTCAGATTGAAGATTTAGAAAAAAATACAAAATGTGCAGTGCTTTTAATAATTATCCCTTCTGTGATTATCAAGGGACTACAATGTGGTAAGCATGCTGACCATCCTTGAGTACAAAGATAAAGTTGGCCTCTGTTAAGAGTTTGCAATATGATTGTTTAAAACCTCTTAGGAAGTCTCCAGTATCATGATACTGGACTGCATACATACCACATGAACAACAATAACTGTTTTATTTTAAAAAGGTTTTCATTTGAAATTATTTGCCAAAAGGTGATTTATTTTATGATTAGATGTGATTTCTCATTAATGTAACCTTGAAATTTGCAAAGCTAGAACAGTTAACGTGAAATGTTTTTTACATTTTGAAGCCATTTTTTCAGGTCTGAAGCATTTTTGGAGGTCATTAAAAATCATTAAGCCATAAGCACTGTGAGGCTCTACTGAAAAACTGCTTCCTTACAATATTTACAGGAGTCTTTGAGATCTTTACAATTAATACAGTGCTATGTAAAATTTTATATCCCTAGATATTTTGGATTGGAATAAATTATATTTCACATTTATAGCCCTTAATTGGATCCAACAAACATGTATCACATATCATTTATATTTAAAGCATAGTGGTCGTGAGAAACATGAATACTGTGGAAACAATACAGACTTAATTGGGGGCCAGGTTACCTATGCATTCTGGTTCTGGGTTATCAAACCATTTGATGTATTACTTTAGTCTCAAGCAGATTTTTTACTTGCAAAATTAGAATATTGACTAATCCTGTGGATATGGATCTTACAATTCTAAAATGACCTAATTTCTAGTTTTTATCCAGATTATGAATTGATCCTAAATTAGGGTTTTTTTTTCTGCCTCCAAGAATACTAAAATTAGAGAGAACCAGCAAAAAGATGAGTGCTTTGCAATTATCCTTCCATTGTGACTAGATTGAAGTTTCTACAAATTCATGAAAATTTAGAATTCTAAATAACATCAAGGGATTAAAATTCTTGGGAAAATACTAAGAAGATTTACTGTAAATAGAGCTTTTATGGGACAATTGCAAAGCCGTTAATTAAGATTTAAGAAGGAAATCAAGAATGAAGAGACTGAGAAAATTAAGCCCTTTCTAGAAATTATGATTAAACTCAGAATGTGTTTCTCAACACTACCATGTACACAATGCTTACTATGTACCAGATATTATACATGTATAGTCCCAAGGTGACCATTTAAAGAAACTGTGCACTAAATGTCACAGTTAATGTGTGACAATGCTATGATTCAAACCTGGAGAGAGAGAGAGAGAGAGACAGAGAGAGAGAGAGAGAGAGAG